TAAGATTAATATTTAAAAGGTCTGATTCAGGTCTGGATGCTGCAACAAGTAGAACTATTTAAAAAAAAAAAAAAAAAATTTTTTTAAAGAACCCAGACGTCCTTGAAAGATGCTTTGTAGGATGTGCCCTAACATGGCCGATGCTTTTGCCTTGTTTCATGATTCCTCAAGATTCAAAAATGATTAACTTGAGCCACCTGGGCTTCTGTGTCTGCCAGGAGTTCATTTCTTTCATCTAAATGCTATTTTGAAATATCCTTGGCTGTTCTATCAAATGGGCACCGTATCATGATCTCCAATCAGTAAACATACATTTAGGTCTCAGGTGGAGACCAATACAATTTACTTTTTCCATCTCAGTCATATAGTGCCAAGTCACACTTGTTTTTTGTTTTTTTTGGAGAACATTCAGTCGATGTTGATTCTCCCAGAAAAATAATGCTCAAACAACAAAGGAAGAAGAGAAAGAAATGAGTGAGACTGACAACGGCCTCAACGTGAAAGAAGAAATCTTACCTGGAGAAGACGAGGCTGTGTGTGTGTGTGGCCCGAGTATCACCATGCGAATAAAAAAAAAAAAGATGATAAATATGTTTCGCCTTTATAAAGATGTTTAAAATATGTAAACTGTTTAAAATGGTTTAAAATATTATGGTGAAGATGGCAGTTGCATTTGCTTTTCACAATAAATATTTGTCTAATATAATTTATACAGTTTATAATAATTAAAACAAATTGCCAAATTTTTCTCTTTTGTTGAATAGGGCGACAAACATTTCATTACTTAAGGCTAAAATACAGTTTAAATACAATTAAATTGTGTAAATCCTTATAAAAACATTGAAATTTTAAATATAAATACAATTTTAAAATAAATTTTTAAAATATCATTATTAAATATAAATATAAACAAATATAATTTTTAAAATATGTATCTTTATTTACTACTACTAAGGCAATTCCAATAAAAATAATAACAACAACATTTCATATTTATATATTGGATTACATTATTATTATTATTATTAACTTAAAATAATAAATATTAAATTAATATAAATAATAACAATAAACAAAAATAATAAACAGAAATAATAGTTCCAACAGTGGTTGACATTTAGACTGATGACTCTGCTGCTGAGTGCTGTTTCAACAAACAAATAATTAACACCGGCACAATTTACATTCACATTTACATGTTTATTTAACACCCCTTTCTTTGTTTATTGGTTTTCACAAAAATAGAAGGTGCACATGAACCCATCACTGTTCTAACACTGGGCTGAGGGTGTTTGCTACAGAGACCAATGAGGTTCCAACTCTGGGGATAAACATGGTCATAAATATTGTTTTTCTCTGAACAAAAACAGCACATAAAAGGAATCTTTGATTTTTGCACAACAACACAAGTCAAACACTCTACTGAAGACCTCTATTGAGAACTACAAGATGAAGCATTAGGATTGCATAGGTTAACATGAGAGTCTGCGAACGGCTGTACAGAGGAGAGGCCAGGATATAGAACGATCTCAAGAGTCGACACTGCCAACAACAAATATCAGTAATGGAGCGCCAGCAGCATCTCTTTTCCTGACGTGCAGTGCTGTTCTGCAGTTTTTTACCAATGCCTCCAACCTAACAATACACCTCATAAAACATCCAAAGCTTTTATGACAACATGAGCTTGAAGTTCGTGATTTTTTCGTCATATTGTTGTTGTTGTTTTTTTTAATTACAGAACTTTAGGGTGGGCAGTATAACTAAAAACTTCATCATCACATTAATGTGTATGTCAGTATATTTATTAGTTGGAAATCAAAAATGTGTGTGTGTGTATATATATATATATATATATATACACACACACACATTTTTGATTTCCAACTAATAAATATACTGACATACACATTAATGTGATGATGAAGTTTTTAGTTATACTGCCCACCCTAAAGTTCTGTAATTAAAAAAAACAACAACAACAATATGACGAAAAAATCACGAACTTCAAGCTCATGTTGTCATAAAAGCTTTGGATGTTTTATGAGGTGTATTGTTAGGTTGGAGGCATTGGTAAAAAACTGCAGAACAGCACTGCACGTCAGGAAAAGAGATGCTGCTGGCGCTCCATTACTGATATTTGTTGTTGGCAGTGTCGACTCTTGAGATCGTTCTATATCCTGGCCTCTCCTCTGTACAGCCGTTCGCAGACTCTCATGTTAACCTATGCAATCCTAATGCTTCATCTTGTAGTTCTCAATAGAGGTCTTCAGTAGAGTGTTTGACTTGTGTTGTTGTGCAAAAATCAAAGATTCCTTTTATGTGCTGTTTTTGTTCAGAGAAAAACAATATTTATGACCATGTTTATCCCCAGAGTTGGAACCTCATTGGTCTCTGTAGCAAACACCCTCAGCCCAGTGTTAGAACAGTGATGGGTTCATGTGCACCTTCTATTTTTGTGAAAACCAATAAACAAAGAAAGGGGTGTTAAATAAACATGTAAATGTGAATGTAAATTGTGCCGGTGTTAATTATTTGTTTGTTGAAACAGCACTCAGCAGCAGAGTCATCAGTCTAAATGTCAACCACTGTTGGAACTATTATTTCTGTTTATTATTTTTGTTTATTGTTATTATTTATATTAATTTAATATTTATTATTTTAAGTTAATAATAATAATAATAATGTAATCCAATATATAAATATGAAATGTTGTTGTTATTATTTTTATTGGAATTGCCTTAGTAGTAGTAAATAAAGATACATATTTTAAAAATTATATTTGTTTATATTTATATTTAATAATGATATTTTAACAAGTAGAACTATTTAAAAAAAAAAAAAAAAAAATTTTTTTAAAGAACCCAGACGTCCTTGAAAGATGCTTTGTAGGATGTGCCCTAACATGGCCGATGCTTTTGCCTTGTTTCATGATTCCTCAAGATTCAAAAATGATTAACTTGAGCCACCTGGGCTTCTGTGTCTGCCAGGAGTTCATTTCTTTCATCTAAATGCTATTTTGAAATATCCTTGGCTGTTCTATCAAATGGGCACCGTATCATGATCTCCAATCAGTAAACATACATTTAGGTCTCAGGTGGAGACCAATACAATTTACTTTTTCCATCTCAGTCATATAGTGCCAAGTCACACTTGTTTTTTGTTTTTTTTGGAGAACATTCAGTCGATGTTGATTCTCCCAGAAAAATAATGCTCAAACAACAAAGGAAGAAGAGAAAGAAATGAGTGAGACTGACAACGGCCTCAACGTGAAAGAAGAAATCTTACCTGGAGAAGACGAGGCTGTGTGTGTGTGTGGCCCGAGTATCACCATGCGAATAAAAAAAAAAAAGATGATAAATATGTTTCGCCTTTATAAAGATGTTTAAAATATGTAAACTGTTTAAAATGGTTTAAAATATTATGGTGAAGATGGCAGTTGCATTTGCTTTTCACAATAAATATTTGTCTAATATAATTTATACAGTTTATAATAATTAAAACAAATTGCCAAATTTTTCTCTTTTGTTGAATAGGGCGACAAACATTTCATTACTTAAGGCTAAAATACAGTTTAAATACAATTAAATTGTGTAAATCCTTATAAAAACATTGAAATTTTAAATATAAATACAATTTTAAAATAAATTTTTAAAATATCATTATTAAATATAAATATAAACAAATATAATTTTTAAAATATGTATCTTTATTTACTACTACTAAGGCAATTCCAATAAAAATAATAACAACAACATTTCATATTTATATATTGGATTACATTATTATTATTATTATTAACTTAAAATAATAAATATTAAATTAATATAAATAATAACAATAAACAAAAATAATAAACAGAAATAATAGTTCCAACAGTGGTTGACATTTAGACTGATGACTCTGCTGCTGAGTGCTGTTTCAACAAACAAATAATTAACACCGGCACAATTTACATTCACATTTACATGTTTATTTAACACCCCTTTCTTTGTTTATTGGTTTTCACAAAAATAGAAGGTGCACATGAACCCATCACTGTTCTAACACTGGGCTGAGGGTGTTTGCTACAGAGACCAATGAGGTTCCAACTCTGGGGATAAACATGGTCATAAATATTGTTTTTCTCTGAACAAAAACAGCACATAAAAGGAATCTTTGATTTTTGCACAACAACACAAGTCAAACACTCTACTGAAGACCTCTATTGAGAACTACAAGATGAAGCATTAGGATTGCATAGGTTAACATGAGAGTCTGCGAACGGCTGTACAGAGGAGAGGCCAGGATATAGAACGATCTCAAGAGTCGACACTGCCAACAACAAATATCAGTAATGGAGCGCCAGCAGCATCTCTTTTCCTGACGTGCAGTGCTGTTCTGCAGTTTTTTACCAATGCCTCCAACCTAACAATACACCTCATAAAACATCCAAAGCTTTTATGACAACATGAGCTTGAAGTTCGTGATTTTTTCGTCATATTGTTGTTGTTGTTTTTTTTAATTACAGAACTTTAGGGTGGGCAGTATAACTAAAAACTTCATCATCACATTAATGTGTATGTCAGTATATTTATTAGTTGGAAATCAAAAATGTGTGTGTGTGTATATATATATATATATATATATACACACACACACACACACACACACATACTTTTGTTCAGCAAGGATACATTAAAAATAAAAATAAAATAAAAATTACTATTTCAAATAAATGCTCTTCTTTCCAGAGCACAATTAATTTTAATATTGATAATAATAATAATAATACATTTTTATTGAGAAGCAAATCTGCATATTAGAATGATTTCCCAATGATCAACACTGAAGATTGGAATAATGATGCTGAAAATTCAGCTGCCATCACAGAAATAAATGACACTTGAAAATATATTAAAACAGATTAAATAATTTCACAAGATTTAAGATTTTACTGTATTTCTAATCAAATAAATGCAACCTTGGTGAGTCTAAGAGATGTTTATAGGCCCTAAAATTGTATTTATATATATATAACATTTTTTTTTTAAAACACACACACAGAAAACAGGAACTTTTTTGATCATGCAAGTCAAATTTGACAGCATGGGAAAAGTTAATATTTCATAACTGTGCAAACACATCTAAAGTGATGTAAGAAGTATGGGAAATATCTACGGGGCCGCCCAGCCCTACTGCTGTTGCCCTTGTGAGATGACAACTCATTTCAATGCCATTTACAGATTCAGCAATGTCAAAAAGCTGATGGGTTTTTATTCACGACCTGATTACAGAACTTTCAGTTTTATAGCATGTCAGACACTGATTGGGATTCTGCTAATAACGTACAGCATTAAAGCGAGCATTTTCCATGCTCTTAATTTGAGCAGTCTAATGACGCTCAGTGAATGAAAAGAGAACCTGTGCTTGAAACAGAGGTGCCTGCTGCGGGTCCAGCTGTCCGAGCGAAGCAGATAAACCATGTCAAAGACAGAACGACCTCACCACTTTCAACACCTAAGACTAGCTATTTATTTACCTCACATCCACACATACACGCAAACACATACGTACAGTACTGATATGAAGAATGGCCACAGACATGTCTTAACTTCATATTCATAAACACTGCCATGCTTCGATAAGCGTCTGATTCACGAGAACTGTGCAAGAAAGCATGGCATCGGGCAGTAGATTCGAGGATGAATTGTATACGTACATCGTTGAGGACCGTAGAGCATTTCCCTCAAGACTACAACCTGTTTTTGTCGACGATATACATCGGAGAATAAAAGGCAACGAAAACTGAAAACAAATCCAGTCGATTTGCACACGAATGCCGTTATGTCAGGATGCTTCAAGATTGTCCTCTTTTCTTAACTGACTTTGTTCAGCAATGACGATTTGGCCGTTAGAAGATGAAACCGACAATTTACATTCGCAAACACGTCTCAACACACAGAACAAAGAGATAAAGTTTCCTCTTAAATAGGTTTCATATACACATATCTGCATTTATATATGGATACTCGATTCATACATTCATTCTCTACCACTCTATTCATATTCACATATAATCTTAACCGTATATGAAATATTTCTTTTAAATTATCTCATAATGATGTATACTATGCGGTAAGACGGGGATCTCTGAAGGAATTGCTGGACATTTGGACCAGATGCTTTATACACAGGAGGAACGGATCACTTTTGAGGGCGGGAGAGTCAGATACTGCAGATATACAACAATTTACATTGCTTCGAGCCAACGTACAACATCAATAGAGCTATTTACAAAGAAATAACAGAGAAATTATGGTATGGAGGTCGTGAGATGGCAAACAAGTACCACTGATGGAAATGAGGAGCTTCTAGTCGGTTTTAAAGTTTTAAAATCACTCTACATGAAGTATTAGGATCCGTTCGTACCCTGCGTTCAGTCTGGGCGAAGATAAATTCTCACAAGCGGTGCTTGCCTACCTGCCGGTCTGTAAACATCCAGCGAAAATACTTCGGTCTGTAAACATTTGGTTCACTTTGTACTTAAATTTTGGTCTGGAAGGAGCCAACTGCATGAGTCTAAACCCATGTGTGTTTAATCTCGAGACAAGCTTCCTGAGTGCCACTGAAGACACAGCTAAAGACCAAAGAGAAGAACGATTTTGCACTCTTGACTGCGAGGCAGATGAAATGTGTGACGGTCATATATGCGTGTCCAAAGGAAGCACAGATATGGATGCCAGAGAAAACTGGATTTTGAGCCTGTAGAAAAAGGTCGCACCAGACTTGTAAGAAAAAAGGTGAACACACTCATCAGGGAGATAAACGTCATGGTGCAGGGGAGGAAAGCTGAGTATGTCAAATCAAATGAGCGATGATGGTGATGACGACGACAACTGATGGACAACAGCGGCAGGGAAAGAAATAAAACAAGATGTGATGAACAGGAAGAAACTGAAGCAACGGAATGATGAAAAACCGATTAAAGAGGGAAATGGACGATGAAAGAGGGTGTGGGTGGAGGATAGGACAAAGGAAAGCAGGAGGGATTCGTGGTTAAAGGCAGAAGACTACAGCGGTTGGCATCATCTTCAGCACTGCAGGAATTAGCTGCACGGTCTAGAGGTCGATGAGCTGGTCCACCAGCAGCAGGGAACGGGCCAGGTTGGGCAGGCTGGACTCAGAGCTGCCACTGTTACTGCGAGAGTGACCTCCTAAAAGAGGCCAGATGGACAGGAAGGTTAGGGGTGGAAGAAAGGGAGGACAGCCAAATTTAGACAAGGAGAGGCCAAGGAAGGGGACAGCAGAAGAGAGAGGGAGAGAGAGACACAACGGTAAGTGAACGTTCACAAAAAGTCAAGAGAGACTGTTACGAGAGAACATGCATTAGGGTTGGGATTCAAAAATTTGGGGATTTCTTTCAAATAAACTATGAAGGAATTATAGATGATATTTGATTCAGTTAAAGACCTCGCAAAACATACAATTTGAGATTAATTCCATCAATTGTTAGGAGAACCTCAGTGTTTCCTGCACCACTACTGAGTGTAAGTCAGGGCAAAAAACATAAGCTTGTCTCAGTGTCGTTATTGTTAGTGAAAACTCGTAAAAACTGAATTGAAATAAACCTGAAATTAAATAAACATGAGATAAAAAATTACTTAAAAAAAAATTAAACATGCTGCCTTGACAACCAAATTAAAAGAATTAGCTTAAATACTAAAATAAATAAAAAAAACTTAATGGCAAAAGCACACAATAAAATTACTACAATTAAAATGAAAAAATAAAAACTGAATAAAAAGCTAATTCAAAGAGCTTTAAGGAGCTAATATTAATACAGTATATGAAACTAACATAACACTGGGTTGTCTGAATTAATACCGCAAAATAATAAAAAGAACACAAAAACACTTCCTTATGCCAGTCTGATTTGACAAAGAATGACTCTCTTTTTCTGTTATTAATTAATCGCAATCACAAGTAAAGTACTTTTGTTATGTCAAACTCAAAATTAACTGTGAACTGTATTACTATGTAACTGTATTATGAGGCCTAAATCTGAAAAAAAAAAAAAAAAAAATTCAGTCTGGCAATGTAGATATGAAGATATACATTCAACTTTTTTCAATAAACTGTATTAAATACATTTAAAAAAAAATCAGTATATACTTGGGACCAGTTGCTTACTTAAAAATACTTAAAATACTTAAATACTCGTTAATGGAATTAAATAAAAAGTGGAACTAGAATTTCTATACGATTCCTATACCTAGTATGTAAAGTGTGCAAAATAACTCATCTCAATTCTGTTTATTTGCAACTACCAACAAAAAATGTGCTCAAGACTATACAGTTCTCATATACAGATAAAGAATTAACTGCTTGTCATTAAAATGAGAGCAAGACGCAAATTGATCACTTACTCTAAAAAAAACTAATGGCTTTAGCTTCCTAAAGCTCACCTTGAGAGTTTTTGGAGATCAGTACTGGTATAGGGTCAAATTCATCTTCATTGGCCGTCTCAGCACTCGGAGGCTCAAAGCCTGAGATCAGACAGTCTGCAGCTGAGAGGCGATGTGGGTTGGGGCAAATGACAGTTCATGGGTAAAAGATTTAAGAGGGTTGTGGTAGGGAGAGACACAGATGGGTGAGAAAAATACAGCACTGTTAGCATGATGTCAACACTGAAATAATCACATTAATGTTCTTTGGCCCACACTTTCTTATCAAACCTAAACAAATGTCTAGAAATTGTATATAGTATGTTAATATCAATTCATTTTCATTTTTAATAAAATGCACTTTACAGTTCCATCCCAAAGTTCTTTACATGCCTCACCAGGTCACATAAGCTATAAATGCCAGCAGAAAAAAAGTGATTTGTTGTACCTGGTATATTCTGGGAGGAGCCGCCTGAGACAGGCGCAAAGTCATCCAGGCATGAGGCAGAGCCAGAGGGGAGAGAACAGCCCAGCAAGGAGTCCTCTCCAATTAAAGGGTCTACAGCACAGTGGGGAGCAGCACCAGGGAAACACATGAAAACATTAAAACCATGAAGTTGCTAACTACATAAAAATCAGGGGGTCATATCTTATGAGGTCCACTTTTTAATCTTAGTCAAGGTTTTTGTGAAAACTAAATTTTGACTTTTTGGTACGACCATTTCCTACTCTTTTCCAACTGTCAAAATTAAATTGGATCATTTTGCTGTATTTTTAGGTTTGCTGAGTCGAACAAAGTTTGTGCTGCCCCATCTGGACACCAAACATGCCTTACAGACGTGTAAATGCAGATAGTCATGTGTTTAATATCTGTCAGAAAGTTGTGGAAATTCAAAAAGTGCCTTTTTTGCAACTTGGTTTCAAAAATATGGTCTGGAAAGTTTTTAATTCAAAATTTTAAAATGCAGTCAAATTAGCAAAATTTCGTAGGTAAAAAAGGTCCACTGTCAATAGTGTAGTGATCCATGAAGCGCAGTTCACACAAAAGTTACTTTAAACCAAGCCGAATACCTCAACACAGCCAGTCTGTGTGACCAACTTGAACCTGTTGCCAAAACTAAATGGGAAATCTTTCGACCAAAGGTGAAATTCCCAATCGTGTGGATTCCTATTAAAAATAACTGGATTTCCCCAGCGAAAATCTGTCAAACAATGTGACCACACCTTTAGAGTGTTTTCATTGTACTCTGAATTCATATATATCTAAAGATGAAAGAAAATGTTCTCATTATATGCCCCTTTGAGCATCTCTGCATCTACCTGCTTAAAGTACAACATTCTGCATCCTTAATGTGGGGAAAAAGGATCCTGAGTTTTTAAAATTTTGAAATCATTATAGTCTCAACCAATCTCTCCACACAAAGAAAACATTCTGCCACCACTTTTGTATTTGACAGGGTGTTAAAATGCTAGGCTGAGGCTCGTCCGTCTCTGATGCATATTTTTACCTTTCAGTGTGGATGATGCTGGTTCAGCCTCCACAGGGTGCAGCTGAGCCTGAGGGGGCTCCAAGCCAGGAATCAGAGAGTCCAAACACACTTCCGTTTTGGCTGGGAGTAAGACAGAGTGGGGAGAGTACAAAAAAAAAAAAACATGATACTGCACTGTAAATTATTCATCACATCATATACATCACTGGTATCTTACATAACGTTAGAGCTTGTAACACTTCAAAGAGAAAGGAAAAATTTAAATCGCATCATATGACCCCTTTAACACACTACTCTACCTGTTGTTCCAGTCTTTAGTGTGTTGATTTCACAAGATCTCAACATTTACAAATCAAGTTAAATTTCATGTGGCAAAAAGACAAAACTGAAAGCTATTACAAATAATACAGGGACTGGCTTGATCTGCATCAAACAACAAAAAGTGGAAAATGTAATTTGTCTCAGAGAACAGGACAGTATTTAGTTTAGCTTTTGTAAAAGAAAAGCACATAGAGAGAGAGTCAGCAAAAGCTGTTACCATCTCTAGTGTCATCAATGGAGCTGCCGAAAGGGTCAGCCATGGACAGCAGATCAGGCAGCATGAGAGAAATATCCGGAGACTTCAGGCCCTCTATCAGCTTCTCTGTAAGTCAGCCGGTGAAAACAGCCAGCGTTAGCCAGAATAAACACAGAAATGCAGGCGTGCGGAAACTGAGAGGAAAGCGAAAGGACAATTGAGGATTTGAAAGCCATTTGATGATTAGAAAAAGGTAACTTTAACAAACAGAAATAAGCAGCTGAAGAATTATCGATGGGTCTAAATTATACACTGCACAATGCAGGTTGAGAACACAATATAAAAGCAGCAGTGGTCTCGTAGAAACACAATTTTGTTCTGCTTTACACTTTGTTGTTCACTAGAATGACAAAGTATTTTGAACTTGAACTTTAAAAGTGAATGGGATAAAAAAAAAAAAACAGAGGTAGGGTGGCTTATCTAAGTACTAAGTACTGATGCAGTAAATGCAAAAAGTGGGACAAAAATCAACAAATCAAACGTTAATACAAAGTTATGCCTAAAGATACACAAAAAAGAAACAAATAAATGTATTGGTATGTCTTTCTTTTCAAACAGTATTAACGTATGATATCAAATGACAATTATTTCAGTAACTTTTTTACATTTACTTAGTTTTGTAAATTTTCCCATTTCTGAATATTTACTTGATGCTGTTGAAAGATATCTGAAAAAGCACAAGCAGATTTATGCAATTATAATTTATATTTTGTTTCTTTGTTCCATTTGTATTTGTTCTTTTGCTTTTAATTACTTTGTTTTTTCTTATTTATTATTAAAACTTTTTTCAATAATTACTAGAAAAGGCCAAAGACGAACTGTTTCAGGTTGATTGTTAATAATAAAAAAAAGTGTTAAATAGTACATTAGTGTTGCCTTTGGTAGCAAAACTGTTACTGTGAATCACAACATTTCAAAGCATTGGTATTGTGGTGTGTGCACCGCAGTGTGTGGTGACCACTAAGGTGCATAGAGGTCAGGTAAGGCTGGCATGGACCTCTGGATTACCTGGTACAGCTAGCAAACCAGCTCCCAGTTCTAAGCCCAGAATGTCAACAGGTCTTTCAGCTGTATAAGAGCAGAGAAAGAGAAAATTGGAAATGCTAAAGCGGTCAAGAAGTGCTCGAAAAGGGTGGCATTTAATGCTGAGCATCAGTTTAAACAGAGGAAGCAGGCGGACTCAGCAGGGATGCAGAGGTAACTGGTGGGCCTTGATTCATCTTAAAGGGTTAGTTCACCCAAAAATGAAAATTAGGCTGCGTTTTACTCACCCCCGAGGCATCCTAGGTGTATATGACTTTCTTCTTTCATACGAATCCAGTCTGAGTTATATTAAAAATTGTCTTTTATCTTTCAAGCTGTTTAATGCCACTCAAACCCTTTAATAGGAGTCTCCTGCTGATTCCTGCAGGTCAGCTAGCTCAGATGCACTGAACATGTGCCATCATACAGTGAGGGAGACCAGGAATGATACAGAAATAAAGCAAGAGATTGACAGAAAATAAACAGAATATCAATGGCCAAATACAGACAAAAAGAAGCCATAATGTCATTATTAAGGATTATTAGGGTCATCTACAATATATTCGCAATGATTTATATTTGTTAAGTGAATTCAATTCACTAAAAATGTATGTAAGAGTGGAACATTAGTTTAAGGATGACGGTACACCTACCAGAGGATGGAGGAGCAGGTTCTGCAGCTTCCAGCCCAGGAATAAGACTCTCAGTAGCGGCAATCAGAGGTTCAACAGGTTCTGCAAACAGCAAAAACACTTATATATATATATATATACACACACACATATAGTGTAGGATGTGATAAGATATACAGTAGTCTGTGAGAAAGTAAAGTTACCGTCAGCTAACTTGGTGAAGTCTTTGTTGAGCAGGTCCTCAGCTGTAAGTTTGGAGAAATTGTCATCACCAAAGGGATTCCAGGTGGGCTGGTCAGGGGGGCTTTTCAGGCTAGCGGCTGAGGCAGGAGCTTGAAGAACAGAAGTGCTGCCCTGCTGTGCAGGCTGGTACACACTCTGCTGGGAGGACTGGGGAGAGATGGATGGGGTGGCGCTGGCTGACCTAATTGTGCCCAAATAAAGAAACAAGTGCTCAGACAACAGATTTAAGTAGGTTCAAAGCTGACAAAACATTTCTTCTTGACTAAGTAAGGAGTATAATAGCAGTGTCTCTCTCTACATTTACACGTTAGACGTATTTCTCACTTTGACTTGTTAAGGCTGGCCTCTGCTGTGGCCGCCTGCAGCTGCTGAGTGGATTGGCTGACCGGAACACCGAACATAGCGCTGTGAGTGACATCACTCTGAATGCGTCTGTGCCCCGCCTTCTGGGCCGTCCTTGGGGACGAGGGAGGAGTTTGGGAAAGGCCAGGGGCCGCAGGCTGAGGAAAAGACAGCAGGATAAGCAAGTAAGAACTCTTTAAATACAGAGAATTTAGAGTGGAACATAAAATTTCAATTTAGATGCAGTGAAATGGCATGAATTAAAAAAATAAATAAAAAAAAAGGTGAATACAGATAAGAAATAAATATTAAAAACAGATACATAATTTCCAACATGACCTTTTTTCTATAAAAAATAGTTCAGACAAAATTGTTGTCAGACTCAGATATCGCTTGGTTGTTTATGGTAACAAAAAAAAGTTTTTTTTATAAACTCCAAAATCACATCTATACTCACATGTAGTATTAGCTACATTACCGTTCAAAAGTTTGGGGTTATTTATATACAATAATAAATGCTGTTCTGAAGTATCATTTGACGTTGAAGACTGAAGTAACGGCTGCTACAAATTCAGCTTTGCCACCTCACGAATAAATTGTTTTAAAATAATTGTCCTTTTAAACTGCAATTATTTCACAATATAACTATTTTTAACTATATTTTTTGATCAAGAACATGCTGCCACATTGAGCCTAAGAAAAATTTTTTAAAAAAAAAAAAAAAAAAACTTAGTGTATACAGTGAATAGTAAATATATGGAAAAATAGTACAGTGTGTAAACAGTAAATTATTTATTTTGTCCCTCTTTCTGATGCTAAAGTCATTTCCATGTCAATTGATCTAAATATACGGGATATTTACTACACTGTCTAAACAATTGGATTTCATCACTTCATCATCTGAACTGACAAACGCTTCAGAATGTGGTGTAAACGAAGCCTAGAAACCATAAAATAAACAACACTTCAGCAAATCAAAATGGAAAGCATACAATTCTAATTATTTTAACAAAAACATTGTCTGTCACAATTTTTAGACAATCTTCACTTCAGAGCAAATAAACCAAAATGAGCAAACATCCGTCACACAAACAATCAAAACCATCTACAATGATCCAAAATAAACCAAGGATGGACAGATGGAGGCAACACAATGGATGATGAGGCGCAGTCCCTTCATGAGGTGCATCATTAGTGAAAGTGAGGCTGCCAGCTCTTTGAATCAAACGGGACAGAGCAGCATGCACATGATGGAGGTGATTACCCTCTCCTCTGCATTCTCTGGGCTGATTTGGGATTGAGGCGCTGGCTGCTGGACAGTGGGTGGCACTGCTGCAGGCTCAGCCTGTACTGGAGGCAGAGCACCAGGCGGCTGAGTGACAGTGGGCTGGACGGGCACCGGCTGCTGCAGAGCCACAGATGCCTGCTTACGACGGACGCTCCGTGCAGGTGCGGTGGGCGGGGCGGGGCTGGATGGAGGAGGAGTGGCAACTGCTTTTTGAGGGGCGGGGCTGCCAGCTGCAACTGGAACACCCCCTCCTGAGACTGCAGTCGCAGCTGTGACGGGGATGGGCTGCACGGGCTGTCACACAGACAACTATACTATGATGTGAACCATAAATGTGACCTTTACATATCACTGTTACTTTAGTTTAATAAATGCAATCTACAGGCTGGAACAGAAATTTAAATTAGTTCAAATAAAGTGACACCCAGACTTGAAAAAAGATTGGCATTAATTAAATTTAACGAAGTTAAATTAGAACAGCGTTACACTGCTTTTATGCCATTTTATCTTCCTAGTTAACCAAAATTCTTGCAACTTCTTCTTATCCTAAAATACTTCCTACTCTGCAATAGACTATAAAATTAAAAAGATCTGAGCATTGTAGGTTTTTATTAGTGCAGTGAGGTACAGACAAAGTAAAGAGACTTACCGTTTGCTGCTGAGGGGCCGGAGATGCCTGGGCTTTCTGAGATTGTAATGCTGCAGCCGGCTGAGCCAAGTTCAGGCTGACAGCTAAGAAACACACATAGAACAATTGTGCATTTTAATAATTATTTATTTTGAATGAATAATAATATCTCATAAGAGAAATCAGTCAAACTTATTAAGACAGGCAATAAAAAATAAAAAAAATTAGGGCTGTCACTAACGATTATTTTCATGAACAAGTAATTGGCCAATTATTCTGACGATTAATCGAGGAATCAGATAATTATACTTTTTTTTTATAATTAATAAAAATATACCTAAACGAACAATAGCCCTTAAAATGACTTAAAATGTATATATAATAGCAATGAGGCAATACTAATTGGTTCAAATAAAGTATCAAAAGCAAGTAATCATATGGTTTTATTGAACAAAACTGTTAAAATGCATAATGTATTATAAACAGAAGAAACTAAAGTACATTATGCATTATAACAATTGCCTGCAGAGGGCGCCTGATGGCCTGACAATTGTTTTTACACTTTACTACACAATCTAATCCTTGTTTAATATTATCTAAACATTTAATTCAAATGTTCACTTAAACTTTATATTTGCCCTTTACTTCTCAACAAAAATTTGAGGGAGAGCTTTTCTCTTGAAATTGCGATGAACAGTTAGCATATCGAGAAAGATATTGATGTATTCTCCTGTGTTTGTGTATGTTTAAAAATGATGTACCATACAAATCTGATGAAATGGCGCACATTGCATTCCCAGATGAGTTTTATAATAAACCCAAACTCTGCAATATGCAGAGATTGAGTTTGAGATGCTCCACACCTGTAAATGATAACAGTTCATGTGGAGCAGCATTTACTGTGAACTAGGGCTGCAACAATGCAATATTTACATTTAATATTTATAATAAGAATTTTATATTTACTATAAATCTGTGAATAACATGTTAATAATGTTAATGTTAAAATGTTACAAATTTTGTTAAAGACGTACATTTATTACACAAGTTCAGAAACAAACAAAACAGCTATGACGTTTCAGTTCTGCTATTGGTTCAGAGATGGCATACTGTAGCTGTAAGCTTATTTTATGCTCACATACATGTAAGTGTTGAAGAACAGTTCATAATATTGATACCTATCGGCTGGGCGGCCCCAGCGGGCAGGTTGGCTCTCTTGCGTGGGGTCAGGGCAGCAGGCTGGATGGGCAAGATGCCCCCTAGTGCCTGGGACTGGGATTGTGCGGCTTTGGGCCGCTGGCGTGGGGTGATGGAGGTTTCAGTGGTGGGAATGGGGTCTGTAAGTCTACGGGACAAAACATGGAGACACAAATTTCAGGTTAAATTTACCAACCACAGAGTACTATGGAGTCTCTGGACAAATACCTCGCCTTGGTCTGTGTTTGGCTCTTCTTTGTGGCTGCTTCGCTCGCTCGGATTGGCTCAGGAAGCTTAGCAGGAATGGGAGAATTCTGGGGGGACACATTTCAGATTAGTCTTGTTTTTATGATTTCAGGCATTCCTACAGACTGACACACACAAGCACGCAATCCAACAACTGATCCCAGAAGTAAAAGCACTGACCCAACAACAGGCTGAGACTGACCGCAGAGGAGAGGAAGGAAAGCGACTAACCTTGACGTTTTGGACAGGGCAGTCCCGTCTGGCCTGTTTGAAAGCAAAGTAGGACACCTGATAAATGTCAGGCCTCTTATCAGGGTCCGGTTCCAGCATGTACCCTGACAAAATCACCACCACAGAGAGAAGGAAAGAGGAGGGAGAGCAGGAGAAACAGAGATTGGGTGTCACCACGTGACAGACAGAAGAAGGGCAGAGCAGATGATTGGTATTTAGTGTTTATTGATATAAGGAAGTTGAAGGAATAGTTCATCCAAAAATGAGTCTTAATTGCTTAACCTAAACTTGTTCGAAAACCATTTGTACTTTCATGAAACAGCGTATCTTTGCTTAATTTATATATATATATATATATTATATATATATATTAGGGCTTGGCAAGTTACCGTTAACGTTAAAGCTCCGAATACACATACAGACAAACCATGGGTCAACAGGAGGGGTGGGATGTTGATCAGTACTGGCTTGGGATGTATTGTGTATTGTGAAGTTGTATCGCATTGTGAGTTGATTTAATTGTTACATCCCTACTTCGCATGTTTATTTGCCTCTTGTCTTGTGATGAATGGCTAGGTCACTTTGGATAAAAGTGTCTGCTAAATTAATAAATGTAACTACAACACTGAATCCCTGACAAAAATCAAGAAACATCTGAAAACACAAAAAAAAGCTTGTACTGTTATAAACAAGGTCTGAAACTTTGCATTATTTGCACTTCTCGCGTTCATTGCCTCTTCTTGATGAATCGCTTGTTGTATTCCTCATTTTAAGTTGATTGGATAAAACATTTGCTAAATTAGTAAATGTAACCGTAAACGTATGATACTCCAATAAAGCTCTAAAATGGACTTCAAAAATTGTATAGACCATTATAATGAAGTGCTGACACCATTTAAAGCCAAACACCATTGTTTCCTGCATGTCTCCAAAACAAACAACATTGGCAATCAATGTTGTCATCAATGTTTGTTATTCGACAGGTACAAGAAGAGAAGATACTGAAGATATTTTACTGTTCCTAACATAAAACTACTTCATCATTTCAGAAGACTATAAATATAGCACACAACTCATTGACAGTGATTGCTTTGACATTTTAGATGGCACAAGTAATCTAATTTCATAACGAGTCACCTTTGCTTTCATTAATGACAAGGATTTTCAAGGATTTCAATTTTGTGTTCAATGGAGGAAAGAAATGACATGAGGGTGCATAAACTACTAAAAATTTCACTTCTGGCTGAACTATAACATTCAAGTGAGACCCACAGCCATACTGAGCCAGCGGTGAGACAGAGACAGAAACCTAGTGTGAGACATGAGCAGAGAGAGGCAAATACTTACGGATGAGACGGTGCATGTCCTGTGAGTAACGAGAATTGTCTGGAATAGTGAAGTTGCCATCACAGATGGCCACCTGACTCTCGCCGAAGGGCAATGTGAAAAAACTGAGTTTATAAAGCAGACAGCCCATTGCCTGAAAGAAAAAGAAAAAAAGTCATTACACAGTATGGGGGAAAAGACTTTTGATTGAGGCCTTTATACAATATAATAACCTTGAATAAAGGTGATGAAACATTATTACTACCACTTTTATATCAGATTAGTCTAGCTTTGAAAGACTTTAAAAATACATTCAAAGGCAATTCATAAAGACCAGAATACTCTTGTTGTATGCTTTAAGAGACATATTCTAACTTTCTGTAGAATTTTATTATTTCAAGTTTATGGTACACAAAACAAAAATTGTAATTTTGTTCCTCCCTGACTTTTACACTTACATTATCCAAATGCTCAAAAATAAAGCATCAAGCACTATCCCTCCCACATAAATCTGAGCTTCTGTTCTAACCAGCCACAACATATCCAAAGCGGCTTACAAATGAGGAGAACAATAGAAGCAATCAGTATACAAGTGCTGTGACAAGTCTCAGTTAGTCTAGCACAGTACACATAGCTAGTTTTTTTTTTTGATAATAGAATAGAATAGAATAGAATAGGTAAGTGCTAGTATTAGTTTGTCAGGTTGCTGGCGAAAAAGATGTGTCTTTAGATGTTTTTTGAAAATGGCCAAAGACTCAGCTGTTCGAATTGAGATAGGGAGGTCATTCCACCAGCTGGGCACAGTCCAGGAAAAGGTCCGTGATAGTGATTTTGTGCCTCTTTGGGATGGCACCACAAGGCGTCGTTCACTTGCAGAACGCAAGCTTCTGGAGGGCGCATAAGTCTGAACTAGTGAGTTTAGGTATATTGGTGCAGCGCCAGTTGTTGTCTTGTAGGCAAACATCAGTACCTTGAATTTGATGCGAGCAGCTACTGGTAGCCAGTGTAAACTGATGAAGAGAGGTGTAACGTGAGCTTTTTCCGGCTCGTTAACAACAATGAAAAGCAGAGACATTTTGTCAGTCACTTGGCTTCTATTTACACTGCGCATCCATTCCTCACCCACTGTGTAAAGCCTTATTGGTACATACAATATACCACCAAAAGTTGACTATACACTTACTTGTTAAATACAAAGTCTGGTCAATTTGTAATTTCTTCTGGAACGCTGACATTATTATAACCAGTAGCCTAGTAGCCATTCAGGTGTTGATTTAGGCAAGAAAGATCGATTCAAAACTGGGATGAAAAAGCCACTGACTTCTGACTGACTGCTTTTATATCTTTGATATCTTTACTTACCCAGATATCTGCTTTAGTGGTGATGATTTTGCCGTTGTACAGATTCACCATTTCAGGAGCGCGATAGGACAGTGTTGTGTACCTAAACAAAACAGACATTTTTATAAAACAATGTATTGTAACTAGTGTTATTTAAAAAAAAAAACGGCATGATATATCTGTGACCATAATTGAATTGTTCAATGTAGTTTTTTTTTGTTTTTAATTAATGACAATATAATGTCGGCTGTATTGGAAGCAGACAATACAATATATTCTATGCCAGTTTTTTAATGTGTTAAACATTATTTACATTGATTCGTTTACTAAACACTTTTATCAAAAGCAACTGCACATCACAAGCAATTTGTCAACTTCCAATAGTTAAAAATAAGAAACGTCAATAAATAAAAATTTCAAAATTCTAGGTTAAAGTATAAATAGTACAGTAAAACAGGAGTGACTGAACTTACAAAAATAACTAAAGTAAAATGCTGTTATAAACAGTGCCAATCTGAAATTTTTCAAGGGAGAATGATATGTACCATCATATCTATCATGAATTTTGTTGAAAATTAGACTCGTCCAAACATACACTACTGTTCAAAAGGTTAGGGTTAGTAAAATTGATTTTATATTTTTGAAAGTAGTATCTTATGCTCACAAAAAAACAGTAATATTGTGAAATATTATTTAATTTATTTAAATAACTGTTTTAATACTATGTAGAGATGTAATGGCATGAAAATTTCTTATCACGCGTATAGTGACCAAAATGATCACAGTTACCATTATTATCATGTTATTGTGCTGGAAATGTTCAAAAAGTACTGACACATAAATCTTTTAACCAAGTTTTGTATTTAAAATCAACAAAAAACAAATAAAAATGACTTTTTTGTTGGCATAAACACTTAAACAATAACATTACCAATGATGTCCAAATTTTAAATGACAACATGACTGACAACAGTTTATCTAATAGCATGTACAAAATGTTCAAATAAAGCTTTGAAAAAGTTTCATAAAATGGTAAACCTCACTTTTCAGCCCTTAAATAAAAAGAGGGGTCAAGCCAAAGTGATAACTGATTAATACATAATTATATGTATTTTATCTGCTCCATAATTAATTCTTTATACCTTATCCGAATTTTTTAAATGTGTAAAATCCACATAAGTTTGTTTTTTGTCAACCAGATCAAAGTTTACAGCAGGGCATGCAAATTCGGTCCGTTTTTTGGCCCCCCCAAAAAATTGCACACAGGTTGAATGTAAATATAACTCTCTTTAAATCCACTCTCTGACACTAGGTGGCGCTTATAGAATAGCAGAATTACAGCCGTTTCCGTAACCTCAGTGGACCAGGCAGCATTGCAATTAAGAACACTAACTTGGGAGTGAAGATGAAAACAAAATGCCATAGCATCTTTTCTGAAGACAGTCAGAACCTTCAGAGGTTCATTCTTATAACTAATTAATTTATATATTCATTTGTATAATTCCCTTAGCACTCTTTTAAAACCTCCCAGCTTTTCCGTCATGTTTTCACACAAAACGAAACTACCCTGCATGCTGTGCTCACGTGTGACTGTTACTTAAGTACATTGTGCTTTATGCTGGACAGTATTTATTTATCCTCAGTTGTTTAAATCGTGGTTATCGAATACGGTTTTAATGCTAATTAAAATATGGAACGGTAATACTAACCGTGGAGAATTTTATCATGATTTATCATCAAACCGATAATCGTACCATCCTTAATACTATGTTAATATGCAATTTATTCCTGTGATGCAAAGCTGAATTTTCAGCATCATTACTCCGGTTTTCAGTGTCACATCCTTCAGTGATCCTTCAGAAATCCTTCTAATATGCCGATTTGCTGCTCATGACACATTCCTTCTTTTTATCAATGCTAACAGTTATTGTGCTGCGTTTCACATTATTGTTGAAACCATGATGCATCTTTTTTTATTTGAAACTGAAATCTAGACTCCCGCACACATACACATTACGAACGTCTTTACTGTCACTTTTAATCAATACAATGTATCTTTACTCCATATAAGTATTGATTTCCAACACCTTACTGACGCCAAACTTTTGAACAGTTTTGAAATTGATTAAAACGGTTCATTTTATGAGTAAAATCTCTTCTGACAGACTGCCACTGGTTCTAAAATTATTTCAATTTCACAGAAACCGGCTGATTGGAAAGAATTACTTTTTAATTTCGTCCTCCACCACAGTCACTCCTTCACTCTGGGGGTTCTGGAACTTCATGGTGGCGCTGCCAAAATCACACAGAACATAGTGTCCTCGGTCATGAAGGAGGATGTTTTCCACCTGCAAAGAGAGACAGATATTACAGGTGATATTTAAAAAACACAAATTACACTCCGGTACAACACTGCATCTTAAGCTAATGAAAAAACTAGTGCTCGACCGATATATCGGCCGATATTTGGTATTTTTCAAATATCGGCATTGGCCGATGCGTTCGAGGCGGGACTTTTATTTTGACGGCGCACTGGACGGCAGCGCCTGAGCACACAGTGCTCACATTCTCCCTCTTGTTCGCTGTCATCCTTAACAGTTCTGTCTAATACGGATAGAAGTCTGTCTAATAATCTGGTAGAACTGTTAAACAAAGGAATTAAAATGTATACAAAAAGTATTATAACGATTGCTTTTATATTATTAGTAATAGAAAGGCTAACATTATAATAATTTCTCGATTGCCATCAGCATTCAGCAAATACGCATTTACATCATTTAAACAAATCTTTGAATGGCTAATGAAAATTTAATTTCACAAACCTTGCAAACTTAGTCGAATTTACTTCATTTTTAATTATATTTTTATTAATTATTTATTTATGGAAAATACTTTGTCATCTGAAGTATAAGTATGTTTATTTTACAAATTTATTTTTTAATCCATTTTCAAATTATTTCAAATTTCTTAAATATTAATTAAAATAAATACAATTATATTGGCTTTATATCGGCCACCCTGCTTTCCAAGATATCGGCAGTCAAAAAACAAATATCGGTCGACCACTAGAAATAACCCATTTGAGAAAAAGCACAAGGAGTGCAGTTCGGCCTGCTAATCAAGTGTTTGCTCTGAAGTGGTTTTTACCATGGTAACAGTCAGTCACAAATGGCTGTTAACTATAATTCATTCCATCAATGACTCAAACTTAAATATTCACTCACACAAGTGTTGCTAGTATGAGAAGTTAAAAAGGAAGGGGAAGAGCAGAGAAAACAAAGCTGAAAATAAAGTAACCTTGAGGTCTCGGTGGATTATGGGAGTTTTGTACTGGTGCAGACGTGCCACAGCTTCACAAGTGTCACAGAAGATCTGGAGCACTTCCTGTTCACTGAAGCCCGTCTGCAAACGCTGGTTCATTAGGTTCACCACTTGACCACCTGCGCACAAACAAATGTAGGGATGGTAAACGTTACAATACTTCAGCACCAAATCAATCCTAATACCAAATTTTCAAGAAATCTTTAGGCAAGACACTACAGCCATTGTTTTTTTTTTCATGCACGCATGTTGGTCTATTTTGCTTCCATAACATGTCTTTTAGTAGGAAAAAAACAGCCAAATACCCATTTAAGTGTTTATTTTATTACACTTTGTCTGTTTGCATCTGGGTTTTTTGTATTGTCAGAAATCTCCACATCAGCAGCACCATTTTATTTCTATCATATACAATTCACCTGATTTATACAATATTTTATTCCTAAAAACACTTTTTTCTCTCGCTGGCTTTCGACAGTATTTTCTCATATATGGAGTGATAAAAAGAGATCTCAAATCCCCTCTATAAAAACCTGCAACTCTAATATTTTCTTTTCTAAAAACGTGCTGAAATATGTGCATATTTAATTAGATAATGCCTGAATTTCATATCTAAACAATTTCACAAAACAATGGTCTTGTGCTATAATCAAAAATTAATTAACATTTTAACCCTTTTAACCTGTGATGACTTGCCTTAACAGAAACAAAAGCAGCATAACATTTGATGTATTACACAATGATTTAATCCACTTGACCACCTTTAACCTTTAATGTTTTGACAATTTATTGGTATCAGAAATCAGATAATTAAAATGAGTCCTCTTTTGATTCAATTTAAATCTCAAATTTTTCTAAAATTACTTACTTTGAATGTTACACTAAATAAAGTAACTAATTTTATTAGAAATGTAATCCTATATTTGACCCTGGAGCATAAAACCAGTCATAAGTAGCACAGGTATATTTGTAGAAATAGCCAACAATACCTTGTAAGGGTCAAAATCATCGGCAAAAAAATTTTATGCCAAAAATCATTAGGATATTAAATAAAGATCATGTTCCATGAAGATATTTTGTAAATTTCCTACCATAAATATATCAAAACTTCATTTTTGATTAGTAATATGGCATTGCTAGGGACTTAATTTGGACAACTTTAGACAATTTTCTCAATATTTAGATTTTTTTGCACCCTATATAGTTGTATCTTGGCCAAATATTGTCCTATTCTAACAATCCTACGGAGCCCCTAAAGGGACATGGTGGTGGGAAAAATTTAGGGTGAGTGGAAAAAATTCGGGGTGGGAGGAAAAAATATTTTTCAAATGTTTTGCATCCTATTGCAAAACTTTTGCGTTCCCTCAAGAAACTTTGCATTCCCTCGCAAAACCAGTTGAGTTCGGACAAACTCTTCCTGTTTACTTTACAGCTTGCAGTGCATAGTTCAAGGCACGGTTTTGGGACATTCTAAAATGCTTAATGTGGCTTAATGTTTTAAAACAGTGACATTGGAGGACCAAATTCGATAATAATAAATACTGATAAAACTATTAGGCTAATATTAACAACCTTATTAATAATATTACTATTAATAAAGCAGAATAGCCCAGAATATGACTGCAACACCCTGCACGTTAAGCTTTTTCTCCCCCATAGAAAACGCTTAAGATAGGCTAAAGAACGAAGACGGTGATTTAAAAACACCAAATCTGTTTACAGTTTATATTACGCAGAGAAAAGCAGGTGAGCCCAGAACGGAACGCGCAGTTTCACGTGTTTTTTCCCCCGTAGACAAAATTTTTTTTTTTTTTTAAACTTAGAAGGTTTCTTTTCTGTGCATAGTGTATATGTTTTATAAAATATAAAACTTGGGCTTTTTATCAGTTTTTTTATATTAAGCCACGTTAAGTGCGCTATGGGGGAGAAAACGTTAACTGTTAACGTTAATTGCTTTTGTTAATTGTATAATAAATAAAAAGAAAACAAATAGATAGAATACAAAAAGATTAGAAAAGCTAGTGTTAGTATTTTTTTTTAAAAGAAAACAAGCAGTTAGTAAATGAATAGAGTAGAGTGCAAGTCTAAAAGGGACAAGTTATTTTTTTGTTTTTTTTTAGGAATAGAATTAGAATAGAGAGTGCTAAAGTAAAAAACAAATCCAAGGTTCAAACTTTAACTACCACCACGAGTGCCATCTATTATTGCCTTGTTTATCTAAAAGTGCACTTTTCCTTGTTTTAAATCTAGCCAAAAAGCCATGTGTTGACTGTGAAACAGTAGACTTTAATTATATGCATTTATATATATTTCATTATATGCATTTATATATGCTATTATTATAAAGCATAAATTTCCGTGTCAATCCATGTTAATTTTTACCGCGAATAATGCGCTGTCACTTTAATTCAGCGCATGCAGCACAGCAGAAATAGACTCCATGCGGAAACGATCGCAGCATGACTGCTGCAGACGCACCACTCCTGGATAGGCGCACTGCATTCTGATTGGTTCGGATAGCATACTGCGGGAGGTCGGGGGCGCAAAATTGTGCTATAAAGCGATTTAGAAATCGCACAAGCTCAAATAGCGATTTTATGATGATTTCAATTAATCGCACAGCCCTAGTTCATAATATTATTAGGCAACGATATTGCCTAATTGTCAGGGAACCGGACCGCAATCGCGTGCAGTGTGAACGCTCTGATCCGTTAACATGGGCGCGGAAAAAGATACGCACCACAGACGGAGTGTGACAGGAACCCAACGATGTTCTTATGACCATTGAGATCCCGCTGGAACACAGCCCACAAAGAACATGAGCTCAAACTGACAAGACATCACAAACATTTTCTCTCTGAATATTGTATGGTACCTACACTAATGTTTAAAAGTCCGGGGTTGCTAAGTTTTTTTAATGTTTCTTAGTCTCTTGTACTCACTACTGCTGCATTTATATAATAAAACAATTAATATGGTGAAATATTTGTACTTTTTTTCCAATTATAAAAATTTTCTATTTAATACTTAATATTTTCTATTTCAAAATATAATTTAATCCGGTGATGGCAAAGCTGAATTTTCAGCAGCCATTTCTCAAGTCTTCAGTGTCACATGATCCTTCAGAAATCATTCTAATATGCTGATTTGGTGCTCGAGAAACATTTCTTATTATCATCAACATTGAAAACAGTTAATATTTTTATAGAATTTTTTGATGAATAGGAAGTTTAAAAACAGCATTTATTTAAAACAGAATTCAGAATTAGAAATCAATTATCTCATCATTGCTAAAGCACAGTAGACATTTCATCACACTCACCATGATTTGGATCTCACGCTTGCAGACCTGCAGGTCATATTCGTTGTTAACGTACATCCTCTTTAGGGCACAGCGCACCCCCTGATTGGTCCGCACCAGGAAGACGATTGCGAAGCCACCTACAAAGGCAAAAACACATTGTTTTGTTGCTGAAAACAAGCTTGAGGACTGGAAAAGTAAAAAGATATTTATACCACAACACTGCCACCATGAGGAAAACAGCAGGAAATTTAATTCAGTTCACCATAGAAGTTGAATGTGGGTTGTTTTTTTGTTGTTGTTAATATTATAGATTTTATTTATTATATAACAGTATTTTATTATACAAAATATAGTATATATAGCTCATTTGTAACAAAAAAAAATAAATTATAATAACCAATTATTATTATTAATCATTTAAATTTGTCTATTACTATTTGTATTCAATCACTGATCGCCCTGTCCATAAGTTTACAAAATGCATAATTCACATTTCTGCATGCAATAAATGATATTTTGTTGATCCAGATATTTTAGTGGAACCACTCAATGTGAACAGCATATAGACACTTAGTCCAAGCATGTACTCTTGATGTTATAGTGCATGCTGATATGTCCAACCAGACATCAGAGTCTATGTTTGCAGTTTGCACTCAGATTTGAGGTGTTGGCATAACATGGTGCAGGGTGTTTTTTCATCAAAGCAGGACCAGGGGAAGCTGGTGGGGGAAGCAGGACGCAGATATTTCATCAAGGATCTAGCTCTACAGGAACAGTTAAACATTCAGTTTTATCTCTCTGCAAAGCAGATGCTATTGGTTTTATATTGCAGAGCTGAGAAAAGATGCTGAGAGGTGTTTAAACGGGACAGAGGAGTCTGAGATGCGCCAGGCCCGAAAGTCTATTAACTTCATTACTAGCTCCTTCTGTGAACTGGAAATCAAATTAAACAGAGTAAACAGCTGTTTCCTTTACATCACTGATAACACATGCAATTCATGATGATGCAATGAATGCTCACCCTCATCATGTTGTTCACCAATTTAAATTATCTTTCATCTATACATCACAAAAGATGCTTTTTTAACATTTTTAAAGCTTTGACTGCCCCTGGAAAACATTTACTTTCATAGTGTGGTATAAAAGTAGCATTATGCTTAACTAAATCTCCTTTTGAGGAAGAAAGAAAATCAACATGTTTAAAGCAACGTGAAGGAGAGGAAATAATTATAGAATGTTTGTTTTTGGGTAAACTGAGCCCTTAAATTCCTCATTCAAAAATGGATCTTTGAATCAACATCAAGTTAGAATTTATATACACTACTAGTCACAAGTTTGAGGTCAGAAAGATTTTTTTAAAATGTTTTGTCTCTTATGCTCACCAAGGCCGCATTTATTTGATCAAAAATTATAATACACAATATACAGTTTACACATTAAAATAATAGTTTTCTATTTGTATATATATTTTAAAACATAATTTATTCCTGGTATGCAAAGCTGAATTTTCAGCATCATAACTCCAGTCTTCAGAGTTGTCACATGATCCTTCGGAAATCATTTATTATGCTGCTTAAGAAACATTTCATATTATTATCAAAATTGGAAACTAGGGGAGGGCAATATGATTAACTGGTAGAAATCTATCAACCAACTGGAGATTTTGGATTATCGTCTCTATCGCGGTTACACAGTCATGTGACGTTGCTGTGCAACGTGGTCATGAAAACGTATCATTTGCACACGTTTTTAATAGGGGTGTAATGGTACACAAACTTGACGTCACGGTTCGGTATGGTTTCGGTACAGCAGGGGGAAAAAACTAAACAAAAATTGCTTTTTATAAAAAAAAAGATAATGCTCTTTCTTTAAATGAATTCAATTATAATGAAAAATTTCCTAGGGATAAAAATCTACCTCAGCTTATGCTCTAAAGTATAGGGAGCCCTTTTAAGTTACTATAAGGTTACAATGAACAACAGAGCCCAAACTTAAATTACTATTTATTTTTAAATAAAATAATCAACACTCAACTTAAAAATGTATGCAAACATGTACATTGCAGATAATGCAGTTTTTAAATTAACTTCTAAAATATCATTTCTACTAGTTAATGAAATACATTCATTTACATAATGACTGTCATAACTCATAACAGATTTATTTAAACATACATTAAATAATTAAGACATCACTAACAGGTAAATTAAAATATAATGAGTATAGCCTAATATTTCGCTAAATGCTCTTTTCTAGACTTCATTTCGCTAGTGAACTAACGAGCTGTGGACACTGATGACTTTCCTGAGGTAAATGAAATGCTACGTGACATTGTTTACATCAACGTCTTTCTGCAGTTAAAACATAGATTGAGCGATGACATGAGGCATGGGATGTTCATTCATGTTTATTTCGTGTTAAAACTAGAAGTAAAGAGGTAGGGATGACAACGCTCCGTGCTGCTGTTTGAACTGAGGCGTTTCTACAGTGATCTGTAGCGCCACATCAAAGAGCGTCAAAACAGCATTTATTTATTGCAAGCATCCTCATAAACACAGTAATTTAGGTCTTACGGAAGCAGTTCTGGGCGGATGACGTATGGAAGTCGGCATTGCGCATGCGCCTCTTAGAAGTGACGCATGCGGAAACGCAGCGGAGAGATCAAAACAAAAACAACGGTCACCAATTAGAAGTACAAAACGAGGATTTGTAAAGAAGAATGTAGGAGAAAGAAAGTCATATACACCTAGGATGACTTGAGGATGAGTAATTTATGAGCTAATTTTCATTTTTGGGTGAACCCTTTAATATTTGAAAGCACCAAAACAAACATGCCCATACCCCAGCAGGACCTCACCCCTATTTTGATATCTCCGCCCCACACGTACGTACACAACCCTAGCAACAACGATGGCGGAATCCGCTATGCCTGCCGGCCAAAGGTATGATGTCATGAATAGGTGAAAGCTTTGTGTGTTACTATGCTAATTCAGGTCGAATGTGTTTGGTAATAGTACGTTTATAAGCGTAACCCTTCTTTTTAATGTTTTGTTCCTCCTATATTTTCCTCTTTTTTTATCTGCCATCCCTCTCTATCTATAGTCAATCTACTAATATCAGTCCTGTGCACTCTCTTCTCCCTATCATTACAGCAAATGTTTTGGGACTCATCCCGACACTGTGGTCAAAAGCGCTTTTCAAATATCGCTTAGAGCATCTTTAAGTAAAAGCAAACAGCTGAGAAAGAAAACACACATGTAACAGCATATTGGATCTGGCCAGCTCTCAAAGTGACAGCAGTCATTCATGTTAATCAAACAACAAAAGAGAAAATCTGTCACACGGTCATATTACTCACCCCTATCGGAAACAGTTGTGCTGCTTAATATTTTACTGCATGCATAATAATAATTCTAAAAGAATCAGTAAAATGCTTTTTAAAACGGTTTTAGATTGTGTATAAGATGTTACACCGCAGGACATGTCAACACCCAAGTACAGATGAGCAGGGATTTCCAGACATAGAGAGATAAAGAGATAAATCTGCCAGAGGAGTTGAGAAGAGCGCTGAGATCTAACCACAGTTCACCATAAGGCCACGCTACATGTTTGCTGGATAAAATTAGGCTATCTGTAACTAACAGCTGTAAAACACTGAACATCAAGATGATTGAAAAGAAAACATTAAGTAGAGTTATGTCGACCAGGCAGATTGATCATTCAGTATTTGGTCACTTGGAAGTGATCAGCATTGGAGAACCTGCTTCAAAAGCTACTATAATACAGTAATAGGAATTATTTAATATACACACACACACACACACACACAACTTCTTCAGGCATTCACAAATACTGGATAAGGATTTTTAAAAATCATTTTTGAGAGACTGGACATTCAAAAATCAATTATTTCAATTAAATATTGTAAGGCTAAAAAGCTAAACATAATTATTTTGTTTGTTAACTAAAAGGTCGTGTGTTCAAGCCTGCAAGGAAAATATTAAACATCAGTCTGACATACCTTCTGCCAGAGTTTCTTCTACAGTGACCTGGTGTCTTCCAACAGTGAAAGCCCGTCCGATAAAATTCCCACCAACACCGCTGCTGGATCCAGAACCTCCAGCTCCACCTCCAGAACCGGGTCCAGAGCCCACCAGCTCCCGCCGGGAGTCAAAGAACTTCTTCATGATGTATCAAAGATCCCTTAACTACTAATGTGAGTCTATAAGAAAGTGGGTTGGTTGTTCTGGTGCCAGAGGTCTAGATCAGCTGTGACTGTCAAACATGGACTCGTAGCCCAATTCTGGTTCTGATCACAGCTTAAATGAACCGTATAGCAACAAAAACGTATTAGTAAACGAAAACAAACGGTATATGTGCTAAATTAATACATCACAGTTGGGTATATCCAAATAAACAGCATCTATCAGTGATGGCCTGATATGATTAAAGTGTTTGTCTAGTGTCTATATACGGGACACGGGCCCATATCACGATATAAATACTTAAATCCAGCTGAAATCAATGTAAACATTTAAGCCCTGTTGAAAATGAACCTTCAAACGTGAAGTGAAGACAAATTATTGTTTTGATGGATGAAAGTCAAACTCTCCATCATCAGCCAGCAGTGCAGCTCATTAGAACATCTGAAAACACCCACTTTTCGCAGAAAAGCAGATGACATGCGGGTATTAATTAGAATAATAGATCATTTCATTTGTTAAACGTCCATAATCATATTAATTCGTCTCTAGTTTGATGAAAAAATAATCATTTAAATTCAACAAATACTCAGCTAGGCGCTAACGCTAGCACATAGAGAGATAAAGAGATAAATCTGCCAGAGGAGTTGAGAAGAGCGCTGAGATCTAACCACAGTTCACCATAAGGCCACGCTACATGTTTGCTGGATAAAATTAGGCTATCTGTAACTAACAGCTGTAAAACACTGAACATCAAGATGATTGAAAAGAAAACATTAAGTAGAGTTATGTCGACCAGGCAGATTGATCATTCAGTATTTGGTCACTTGGAAGTGATCAGCATTGGAGAACCTGCTTCAAAAGCTACTATAATACAGTAATAGGAATTATTTAATATACACACACACACACACACACACAACTTCTTCAGGCATTCACAAATACTGGATAAGGATTTTTAAAAATCATTTTTGAGAGACTGGACATTCAAAAATCAATTATTTCAATTAAATATTGTAAGGCTAAAAAGCTAAACATAATTATTTTGTTTGTTAACTAAAAGGTCGTGTGTTCAAGCCTGCAAGGAAAATATTAAACATCAGTCTGACATACCTTCTGCCAGAGTTTCTTCTACAGTGACCTGGTGTCTTCCAACAGTGAAAGCCCGTCCGATAAAATTCCCACCAACACCGCTGCTGGATCCAGAACCTCCAGCTCCACCTCCAGAACCGGGTCCAGAGCCCACCAGCTCCCGCCGGGAGTCAAAGAACTTCTTCATGATGTATCAAAGATCCCTTAACTACTAATGTGAGTCTATAAGAAAGTGGGTTGGTTGTTCTGGTGCCAGAGGTCTAGATCAGCTGTGACTGTCAAACATGGACTCGTAGCCCAATTCTGGTTCTGATCACAGCTTAAATGAACCGTATAGCAACAAAAACGTATTAGTAAACGAAAACAAACGGTATATGTGCTAAATTAATACATCACAGTTGGGTATATCCAAATAAACAGCATCTATCAGTGATGGCCTGATATGATTAAAGTGTTTGTCTAGTGTCTATATACGGGACACGGGCCCATATCACGATATAAATACTTAAATCCAGCTGAAATCAATGTAAACATTTAAGCCCTGTTGAAAATGAACCTTCAAACGTGAAGTGAAGACAAATTATTGTTTTGATGGATGAAAGTCAAACTCTCCATCATCAGCCAGCAGTGCAGCTCATTAGAACATCTGAAAACACCCACTTTTCGCAGAAAAGCAGATGACATGCGGGTATTAATTAGAATAATAGATCATTTCATTTGTTAAACGTCCATAATCATATTAATTCGTCTCTAGTTTGATGAAAAAATAATCATTTAAATTCAACAAATACTCAGCTAGGCGCTAACGCTAGCATTCCTGCAAAACCCGCTCAGACGCGTGACACATCTCATCTGCGCGCTCCGCCGGTGGCCTGCCGGTGAACGGTGAATGGATGCGGTTTGATTTTAATCGGACAGAATCAAATTCAGGCAGAAATGAGCGTGTTGTTCATGGCGTTTCTCGTCTGTGGCTTCGGATGCTGCAGATGCGCCAGCTAACCGGAAACCACACCGGAAGCGTGAAGCTAGTGCTATAAAAACTATAATAAAAGTCTAAGATTCTCAATAATTAAAGTCGTTTCTCCACCTTTCAGCAGCAGGGCAGAGGAAAAGGCAGTGAAAATGTTGACCTTGGGAGGTCAAATTAAATATTATATGAGCAGAATTCATTCTGCTTTATTTGTACGAGTTTTGCCCAGTCATCAAAATGTGGGACATGCACATATAATATAGTCTGATAGAAGCCTTGAAAGATTTATCCCGATTGTAAGGTTTTGGAAAGACATTAAATTGTGTTTTTGTCAAGAGGGGAACGAGTGCATTATCCCAGTAGCCATTTATTTTATCACTGTACTTACCAAAAATATTTTTATATTTAATTATTTGCCCATTCTAAAATTGAAATAGGTCACTACCGTCATACTTTAACAGCAAAACATATAATAAATTACTGCAAAGCCTTAAATCTCTTCTTTGACTGATTGATTCACAATGCACAGCATGATTATGATTAAACACGAAGAAACTATGAAAGAAGTTTATGTGAAGGAGGGGTGCTTTTAATTTTGTCAACCAAGAGGGGGTGCTGTAACTCCCTATGCAGATATGAGTTAACGTTGTCACTTGTCAGCTTTATAGAACAGGTACATAGTTACAAAATTAGCCTACGTTTTTTATTGCCAGATGGAAGATAGCTGGCAGCGTTCTACTTGTCTTTATCCGTGATAGAAAATTTGCACCCTCTATAATGCAATTAATTTTACGTCAAAAATACTTGGAAAACCCTCGCGACAATAGAGTTTAGAGAAAAAAGTAATTAAACTTTTGAAATTGACTATAAGCACAGCTGAGACGTGACAGAGTTAAAAAGCTTCAGTAAGTACATGAATGATCATATGTGGGTGAAAAATCAGCAAACTGTTATGAATTGTTCAATCTCTCATCTCAACGTAATATAAAGAGGAGGGGCCGTAAATGAGGAACTGTAACACGATTCTGTCCATACAGGCCAACACCCACAAAAGTTGGCAACAAAACTCAAGAAAAAAACAAAAGAAAGATTCTCGCAAATCTCCACGTCCATTCAGAGGAACGGGTGCCGTGCATCTCTGAATCCAGCGCTTCAGCAGGTAAGACGGGAAAAACTCCCACCCGCTTTCCTAAAAAAAAAATGACTTAGCTTTCATGTTATTCGCGTCTCTTTCTGCTCTATAACGAATGGTTATAATATCAATTTACTCATTTAACAGGCGAATAGAAATCACGCAATGGAAATAAAACTTAATCGTGGATTAAAGCTTGTTTGTAAAATGAAGTTTTCTCTCCTAACGTTTTGCCACAGCACTGAACGCCCATATTCCGTCACGTGACTCCATACTGCTAAACATGATCCCTTCAAATGTGGCTTTCATTAAAATACAATGAGTCATATTGCTTTGCATGGCAAATTAATTAGACCACATGCTTTACAAACACAAGACAATGACCTAGATCTAGTATAGTCAGCAAGGAAGGATATAACCACAAGAGGGGAAAAATGAATGAAATCTCTTTGTTATAGGCCTATATTGTTTCTCCTAGATCGGGAGTTTTGACATTTTTGATACTATAAGGACCTCCAAATATGATCATTTCCTTGTGAAGGACCCTCTTGTTAAAATATAAAAGCAAATATGTTTTCACACACACACACACATATATATATATATACATATATATATATATATATAGGTCTGTACTGTGTGTGGAAATTATTAAATGCAACATAAAGACAACAAAATCAAATAATTGTTTCCAAAAATAAATAATTGGCTTTTGCACTGCGATGATTTTATAAATGAACTGTTAAAATATTATCTGAAAAATATTTACTTTTTATTAAGTTGACTGCAAAAAAAAATTTATGTTAATTTTAGATATGCAAATGCTTCTGATGAACAAATATTGCAAATATCTAGATTTTTGACCAGTCTTTAGAAAGCAGAATTACATGCTATTGCATTTAGTAAATGTTGACATTAAAAAAATTTGTTAAACGTATTTCACTCATATACCAAACATCAGAGATTGGAATATGGACTTTTTATTCATGTAATTCTTACCAACTAGGCTATTATCTGCATGTCAAAAGTCTTGTTTCTGTTTTAATTTCTTCAGAGGAATCGGTAACACTTTATTTCGATAGTCCACTTTAGACATTCTATTAACAGCAAGTAACTTTGCAACTACATGTCAACTAGCAGTTAGTAGAGTATTAGTAGACTGTCTGCTTAATATCTTCTAACACTTTCTTTGTCAACATTCTACTAACCCTAAACCTACCCTAACAGTCTACTCTGAGAGTTAGTAGACATGTAGTTGCAAATTAATGAGAATTAGTTGACATGTAGTTGACATGTAGTTACAAAGTTACTTATAGTTAGTAGAATGTCTAAAGTGGACTATCGAAATAAAGTGTAACCGAGGAATCTTATTAAGTTGCTGACTAAACTGAGAACTCTCACGAGCAATAACATAACCATTTCTTTTGGGTTCTAATTTGCGGGTTACACTGGTAGGCAGATGCTGAGCTTTCTCAAATAAGAGCTAAATCTTTAATATGAAACACTGAAATGCATTTTGAATGTCAATGAATTAATCTCTGATACTGAGGCTCAATCAAAAGAGGTCTGTGAACAGTGTTGCTGTTGCAGTTGCACAGCACGAGTCAAATATAATGTCGACAGGATCTTTGAACATACAGCACATTGTATGCAAAGAATAAATTATTAAAAGATCTTAAATGATGCACTATATCGTCATGGGGCCGCTGTCAGTGTTAGAACACAATGAAGTGAAAACTGAGAGACTGTCAGATGTCTCTGCGTTTTGAATGAGGTCTTTTAGGGGTTAGAAAAGGTTGTAAGTTTATTGTTTCAAAGGGGAAACTGATACTGAGCATTAGGCTGTTAATTACTGGTTGAGGCTCTTCTGCTTAATGAGCTGAATAGTAAAGTGGAAACCATTTTGCTAGTGCATCCAAAGGTGTTATTTATTTAGTAGTGTCATTAACCCTGCTATTAAGAGCTCAGTCCTAAATTTCACTTAAATAAAACCCAAACAAACTGGCACGCGTTTCCTAAAATCGTTGTACGCCTGAGTAGATCAAAGAAACCAGTGACACCAATAGGATTAGAATTTAGGATTGCAATGCTTTTGGGAAATGAAGGCCTGGTCTGTTTCATTGCTATATGTGTCAAAATAAAACTTTTTTTTGTTGTTGCTTGTTTGTGGATTTCAAAGACATATATTATAAATGCATGAAACAAAATTGATTATAACAAACCACTTTTGCATCAGTTTAAATAATATTTGTTTTATATTACAGTTGCCTATACAATGGCTTCATATATTTAATGCTTCCATATATTTAACACATTTTTTATTTCTTGCCTTTAGTGTTCTCATCTCCTCATCTCAAAACTTTAACCTTTCCTCCATCCTCCATCACAATGGCAGCGGTAAG